ACCCTAAATCCTAAGCCCTAAACCCTAAACGCTAAGCCCTGAACCCTAAACCCCAAGCCCTGAACCCTAAACCCAAAGCCCTAAACCCTAAGCCCTAAACCCTAAGCCCTAAACCCTAAACCCAAACCTAAGCCGGGTTCTTCTGGACTCCTTGGCAACCTGCGAGGCCCACTTCTTGAGGGGCCTTGATAAAATGTAAGGGTTGCTATCAGGGTTCTACAATAATTCCTAAATAGGGATTAGGGGTTCAGGGTTTAGGGCTTGGGGTTTAGGGTTTCTGGTTGATGATACAAATCCTGCATTACCTTAAGGACCCTAAACTATGAGAATTATGGTCTATTCCTTTTTGCGGGCAGTGCAGGATTTATATGATCAACCGTACCAAGTTTCTACAATTAAGAAAGGAAAAAATAGATTGGGGCCTGGTGGCATGCTCTGCTGGAGTAGCTATACAGGGCCGATCAGGGAAGAGTATGACCAATGATTCAAGCAAGCCCCGTTACTGTCCCCTAAACCCTAAACCCTAAACCCTGAACCCCAAACCCTAAACCCTAAAACCCTAAACCCTAAAACCCTAAACTCTAAAACCCTAAACTCCAAACCCTAAACCGGTTACTATGACACAAGCAAGCGCTGGAGCCTTCAGACTTGGTGCACTTGTGGTCTTGAGCGAATGTAGGGGCCTTAACAATTAGAGTAGAGGAATGGGTTCCTTTCTATAGTTTTGCAAAAAGTAAGGAAGCCTCAGCAATAATGTTGCAATAATATGTTCACAATGATTTTGGGCTGTTAACGTAGTTCTTAATGTAAAAAGGAAGTAATATGGAAAATGCTTGTAGGCTTCTATATCATTCCTTTAACTTTCCCCTTCCGAAGATCCGTTCCAGACCCACAAGGCTCACGGTCCTGGATCTCAGGAAGCTGGCGTTGAAAAGGCCTGACATGCAGGGTTGAGAGCTTGGGTTCAGGGTTTAGAGTTGAGGGTTTGGGGTTTGGGTTCAGGGTTTAGGGTTGAGGGTTTGGTGTAGGATTTAGGGTTCAGGGTTGAAGGTTTGGGGTTACGGTTCAGGGTTTAGGGTTGAGGGTTTGGGGTTTCGGCTTCGAAACGAAGGCAAGGTCAGGGTTAGCTTAGCCGTGGTTTATAGCAGATGTGTGGCTGTTGTCGTTCCTCCAAACCTGACTCTCGACATGCAGCCCTGAGCCCTAAACCCAAAGCCCAGCAGGCCGTGCAAGGACCTCTGTTTTTTTCATTTAAAAAAAACAACCTTAGGGGCCGAGTACCTTAGCCCAAGAAAGGCTATCCTTAAGTTATAATAGGTTTATCTAAGCCCCAAAGGGTTAAAGGTTACCTACTCAGCCCCTAAGAAACAAAGAACGAGCTTCCACAAGGAACCCCACACCCACAAGGATCCCTATGAGCCTTTCCCTGCAAAATCCCGGGTCGGCCAGAGCCATGCTGCTACAAATACCACCACCGCGACGACGGCGGCCACGACGACTACTGGCCCACTACCACGGAGGAAGTGCCACTACTAACTACAGAGAACTACACTTATTCTGCAAAGTGCACCCTAAACCCTAAACCCTAAACAGCAGCCGGCCTAGAAGATCCTTAAGCTTTTAACCAGCTGAAGCAGGTGGCCTGATGTGGTGCTCGTTCGGCTGGTCGGTGTAGAACCCTTGTGAAACAGGGAAGCTGCGAGGACTGAGGCGAACTTGCTGCAATTGAGGGTGGGATTGAGGATAGGACGGATAGGATTTACAAGACTTACCTCAACACCAAAGATCCTACCTTTTTTAAGGACTTCTATAAGGAAATCAAAGGAGCCCTAGCAAGGTAGGTATGGTTTGGGCTTTAGGTGCTTGGGCTTACGATTTAGGGTATCGGATCTCTATTTGGACTGGGAGGTTGAATTCAGGGTTCAGGGGGTGGGGGAGTTGCAAAACATACCACACGCAAAACAGGCAACAGTAGCAACCCGCAAGTCAATCCCAAACACTCATTCCGAACCCCTAAACCCCCCCAACAACCCCCCTATACCCCCCTAAACCCCTAAACCCCTAAACCCCTAAACCCCGAAACCCCGAAACCCCTAAACCCTGAACCCCTAAACCCCTAAACCCCCTAAAACCCCTAAGCCCTGAGCCGAACCCTAGAGTCCCAAAGCCCAAAGCCTCGACAGCTAAGGCCCCGCGCGGGCCGAGAGCGACCGTGGATGTCCGCGGAAGCAGGGCGTGTTCCTTTTGCAAACGGATTTTTAGGGTTGAGGGGTTAGGGTTTAGGAGTTTAGGGTTTAAGGGTTTAGGGTTTTGGGGTTTTGGGGCTGGGGCTTAGGGGTTTAGGGTTTAGGGTTTAGGGGTTAGGTTTAAGGTTTAGGGTTTGGTTTCGGGGTATATTACAAGCATAGTATGTAAGTACAGTAAGGAATCCCAAAGAATAGTACAATTACCTACCAATATTATTCCTAGGGTTCCTTAATATAAGTATACTGCAATGTACACCAAAAAAAACCTTACTCTGGTTAAGGCGCTATATGGGGTTTTGTGCTTTTGGATTCAGAATGCAGGGTCTGGGGTTTGGAAGTGGAGGCTTCGGGGGTAGAATTTAAGGTTTACGGTTCAGGACGTCGGGTTTAGGGTTCACAAATGTGGGTTTGGGGGTTCAAGATGTATGACATAGGGTTCAGAACTTAGGGTTCAGGGTTCATCTGGACATGTGCACCGGACGAGGAAGTAACTTTGAATGTCTTCGTGCGTACAACCTTCCAGAACCTTATATCTGAAAGTCCTAGACTCTAAATCCAGGCTGCACGCTAAACTTCAGCCCTAACGCATGACAAACCTAAACTCTAGACTTTAGACCCTTCTTGATTATCTTCTGTTTCGTAGGTAAGTCTTCCGATCCGGCTTAGCTCTGCATGCTAGCCGGCTTCAATATATGCATCTTGGATGTGGTATCTCGAAATTAAGGCCAGGATGCTTAGAGTAGGGTTTGAGGGTAGTTGGAGCCAATGCTGCCCACGTTTTCCGCGTATTCCTCATCGAGGCTGCTACAGTAAATGCCCCTTTCAAGTGAACGCGTTCTGGCGATACGCTTTCGAGGCGGAAGAAGTGGCTTTGCAAGTTCTGCCTCTGGTTCTGGGGCTGACCCTGGCCGCTTGAAACCCGTGATCAATATGCTGTTTGGGGTCTAGTAGGGTTGTGCAGACAGTGTTAGCCAAAAGTGCATGTAAACACGATATCGATACAGAGAACCTGATAGCCGCATGACAACCTTATGCCTATACACTAGCCCGCACCCGCCGAATGAACATCCGCAAGTTCACTTGGCATGGCACAATGCTTAGAGCTGCACCCAAAACATGACAACCCAAGCCCCGAAACCATGTTTTGAAGGTATCTGCAATGCATGAGCAACAACCTTGATTACTGCTGCGATCATCGAAATGACTCGTCCGAACTTCTGCCTCTGGCTGGATATCCGTACCTTGAAGCCCTAAACCCGTAGAAGCCTTCCTGAACCCTAAACCCTGAACCCTAAATCCCTAAACCCTAAACCCTAACCCTAACACTCCTCAGCATCCTTTGACAGATTGCTGCGTGCCATCCGAGATTCGCGGCTTCGGTGGCGCCGGCTCGGAGGTTGGGATGCTCGACGAGGAGTCACTGGACATCGGCATTCAGGGAATTGTGGTTTTGGGTTTAGGGTTTAGGGTTTAGGGTTGTGGTTTAGGGTTTTGAGGGATCGTCACAAGGGTTCGGTCACGGGTCCAGTTCTACTCACCGACGTCATTTTGCAATGGCATGATTGAAACTTGGCGAAGGATGGACTTGCCATTAGTCCAGTCTCAGAAACGTCTCAACCAGAAAGGGGGGGTTTAGAGTTTAGGGTTTAGGGTTTGCAGGTTAGGGTTTAGGGTTTGGGGTTTAGGGTTTGGGAGTTTAGGGTTTGGGAGTTTAGGCTTCGGGGGTTTTGACGTCCTGCTGTTCAGGGCCTCTGGGGTTGGGGTGCTTTTGGTTTGGGATTATGTAAGGTCTAGCTACAACACAGAGCCAGGTAAAGATGTCACCAAAACTGGCATCACCGAATGGTAGTGTGGGAGAGAATGGCTGGGTGCGTTTCCGTGGTTGGGGCGGAAGGTCCACAAGCAATACCATGATGACAGATAGCGATCGTGGCAATGGGTCCTGACGGGGCCTTGTGATATTTCTGATGGTTTTTTGTATTTAATACTATAACTGATATCAAGAAGCCTCGGGAATCATATATGTAATTCTTCAAGGGATTCCACACGCCAGGCATCAAGCAGGAGCTCGACTGTAGCACCAGTCTTCCGAATGCTCCATGCTGTGCATCAATGGAGTTTTCTCATGAAACGCATTTCAAAACATCACGGTGAAACTGATCTTTGCCGGACCAATTCCAGCCTTGCATGTTTCCAGGGATCTGCGGCCAAAGGGCTTTACTTACAGGTTATTTCAATTCTGCGTTCATCAGAAGGCGAGGTGCAACAACAGCAACCGACAAGTTGTAGCTGGCTAACCTAAACCCAGAACCCCTAACCCTTAACCCTTAACCCTAACCCCTAAACCCTGAATCCCTAACTGCCCCTAACCCTAAACCCTAAAAGCAAAGCCCAAAGGTCAGACGGTGAAGGCCTCTGGTCCGGAAGATGTCTCTTCCCATAGGCCCCGAAGTAGTTCCTTTTTATGGCTTATATTTAGGGTCCTATGGGGTATATCCCAATAATGAACTACTTAGGGGCCTATGGGTTTTTTGGGATGTTCGAGGCTCTTTGCCCGGGCCACTCCATCGGGGATCAACCCCGGGAGGAGCCAGGATTCTGACTTCTATGGGTCTCGCTGACCCATCATGCAAGAGCGTCCAAAGTCGATAGAATAAGGTCTCAGAGAACTGTCTCTTGTAGCTATATTGTGTTTGTTTCAGGAGGACCAGAAAGGGGACATTGTCCCTGATTATTCCGACCTCCAACTTAGATCGGTGCAAAAGGCTGCCCCACGTAGCTCACGACTCTTGGATGTGCCATCTCGTGGCACCTCGGGGCCACGGGCACACCGGCGCGTGGGACCGAGGGGCCATTCCGAGGGGCAGAATTCTGATCGGGACCGTCACGCATGAGATCCCGCATCAAGGCCTCGGTTCTGAACACCAACACAATGAAAACTCAAGATGGTTTAGGGCTGTTAGAGAGTACGAGCGTGAAGCTTCAGGAAACCGAAAAGCTTTCCAAAAAGAGTCGAAAGTTTGCAATCGGACAGGCAACCTGTCCGATGAGGAACTCGTTCTGCCCTACCAGCTCTGTGTCAAGACCCACAGGCGAAGGAGCCACACTGGAGCCAAAGTCCAGCGAGTTCTGCGGCAAGGCTGGGGCATGGCTGTCACGGGCTGTGTCCAGTTGTATAGCAGCAAACACAGGGCTCGAAGCGAGAAGGGCCGATGCTATAGGCTGGGCCCTGGTCTCGTGGTGCCACAGGACAGGGCTCGGCTTCGTCTCCTCTTTCTGCAGGCCTACGTGGGAGATCTCCCTCGTGTCAGGTAAGCGTCGGAGCTCAGATTGACCGTGAGCAAACCTGCAGGCAGCGCCCTTTGCGCAGTATCCCTTGCGCTTGAACTTGGTACAAAGCGCCGTCGCAGCCAAGTTTGGCTGCTCGCGGAGGTCGGACCAGGAATGTGCATAGGTGCACGTGTCACCGAGATGGCATCTCCCTTTCTTCTGCCAGTACTGGCAGATCTTCGTGAATTTCAGGGCCGCCCGCGTCTCCCCTGTCTGATCGCGTGGCATGGGCACACTTGAAAACTCGAATCGCCGTCCCAATTTACGGGCAGCGATCACAAACAGAGCCAAGTGGGCTGCAAAGGCGAATCATGATCATCATGATAACGGCGGCAGTATTCGTGATTGCTAGTAGGTACCAGAAGCCGTAGTAGTGGTAGCAGTGGCTTTCGCACGAAAAGCAGCAGCCGAAGCACTTGCTCAGCTTCATAGGTTCGCACAAATCGATCCTAGAGACACAACCAGTATGTCTACTTTGACACTGTCAATGAGATGTTGTTGATTATGAAAAACAATGTAAAGTGTACAAGAATATACATTAAAAATGAATAAACAAATAAATGAACACATAAATAATACATATACATATATATATATATACACACACACTCAGACTCCCGCTCAGACTCATCATCATACTACCAGCTTTGGTGACGATGCTGGTACCCACAGTCTAAAAGTGATGCTCTTGCAATCCGGAGTGACAGCTGCGAACGATAACGGTCATGTCATGCCTTCAGTCTCGATTCACTAACTTTAGAGTGTAATATAAGGAACCATTGGGGACTTTTGGTGATGCTGCTTTCCCTGAGCATTGCTGAAGTCTTCAAGTGCCAGATACGTGCGGGTCTGTGGTTTGTTTGGGCTTATAAGGGGGAAACCAAGCTCGAAGCTGAACCTCAAACTCGTACTATGGGGGCCCGTAGCAAGTGGAATAGGGTTTGGGGTATCGTGAGTCTAAGACGGAGCCCTGAAGAAGAGTCCTTGTTACCAATTGTTCCGGCTTTTGCATGAAACCCCAATGGAACCTTCTGACATACATGAAACCCCCAGAAGACCATTGAATGAAATGTATAAAACCCGTTTTGGAACCCTGTAAAATCTCGGAGCCTTGACGAGGGCGAGGTGTCTTGTTCGGAGCAGCTTTGCTTCCTTGGTTTTTGTGTTCTGTTTAGGGTTTAGGGTTTTTTTAGGAAACTTGAAAGGCTTGTAGAACGGCTGGCAGGGTGCTTTCAGGGTGAAGGGTTTGGGGCGTTGGATTTGGTAATTGTGTTCAGAAGGGCTTGAAGCGGTTCCTTCGGGATTTTGGGTTGGCAGTTTCGGGGCCTCGGTCTGGTTGGGGCTAACCCGTTCCTGTGCTGATACTGTTGCTGATATAAATCCTGCATTGCCTTAAGGACCCTAGACTATGGGACTTTTATGGTCTGTTCCTATTCTGGCTAATGCAGGATGTATATCATCAACCCGTACTGATGCCTTGTGCAAGTCCGTGCCGGCTTCTTTTCCAAAGGGCAAGGCCCTATCTCCAAAGCCCTAAAGGCCCAACCGGCAGCCATTTCTAGACCCGCAAATCCCCCCCCCCCAGACCGAAGCTGCGAAACAGAAATACGAAGCGGTTTGTGAACCACAAGAGTAGTATTATAGTACTATAGTTCTTCTTATTATTACTCTTGCTGTTGTATTATTAGGCATACTAACCCAACCCTCTGCAACCTTTAGAAAGGCCCGGGTAAAACCTTTACACTGACCTGAACATCAAACTCTAAACCCAACAGTCAAAAACCCTGAGACCAAAACCCTAAACGCCAACCCCTGAATCCTGAGCATCAAACCCCAAACTTTCCCGAAACCCTAAACAGCCAGAAACCATCCGAGCTGATCGCCACCAGGGGCAGAAGGTCTTTTTCGGGCTTCCCCCTGGCTCACATGAGTTCCAAATACCATACAGTTGATAGCTTGTAACGTGTTTACGGGGGCTTGCCCCGCTGTAAGTAAAGGGTCTGTCAACACAGGGCGCAACTTTCCTTGGATTGGGATGACTGAAGTTCCGTTATGTAGTCACGATTTAGGGTTTAGGGGAGTCTCCCACACAATTAGCGGGCATGGGGGTTGCCGGATGCTGCGTCGGGTCGAGAGTCGTCTCGTAGGGGCCGGGGATGTAGCAGTTCAGGATTGTGCAGCTGATGGTAGAAGTACTTGTAGTAGGGTTTGGGGTTTGGGGCCTAGGGTTCCTTTAGCTTTCAGAATCTGAAAACCTTTATTTGAGTCCCCGCGACAAGCATGAGCCCCTACAGAAGACTAGCGGATTCCACCCTGAGGCTTCGAAGCCAGTTGACCTGTTTAGGCTAGGGTTTAAAGGGCTTGGAACCCTAACATGGCATGGTCCTAGGGCTCAATAGGAACCACGAAATTGTGGGGCTGCTTAGAGCCTCCAAGGACATGCAATTGAGGGTCTTTGCTTCATGCTGTGAAGGAAGGCTCCATGGTTCTGTGGGGGTTAAGACTTTACGAGTTTGAGGGGTTTAGGGTTTAGGGTTGAGGGATTAGGGTTTAGGGTTTAGGGCTTGATTAGGATTTAGGGTTTAGGTTTAGGGTTGGGG